ACCTGATGCATGGTCTTTGCTTTTCTTAATTTTCTGCATTTACATTCCTCATTCATTTTGATGGCAAAATTTCATGTGACTTTAAGATACAAAACATGTTATGACTGTGTGATTAGCTATTACTGTGAAACAAAACATCTTTAAGAAGAAATAATTGTAGATAAAATTTCTTTGGTGTATTTGAACAGTTGGTTTTTAATACAAAATAAACTATTCTAATTAGTACAATATGTTATGCTTGAGTGAAGCACTTTGGATCTCTCCTTGTCATTAGGCCTAAAATTAGTGACTGATAATTGGCAGCTACATGGTTGGGTCAGTAGAACAGTTAACTCTGCTTAACAGAGATAGTCAGTTGATGTTAAATGGGTAGTGTATGGCATACATACAACTGTTAAATACAGGCAAGATAATTTTCAGCTTACACAGAGATTTAAGTTTTTCAGAGACTCAGATTTTACACACTGCATCTTCCTGATACAGTGATGCACAGCATCTTCCAATTCTGTTTAAACTTCTTTTCTCTTAGGAGATGATTTATATGGGCTTTTCAATACCAAAGCAGGCCTTGATGCAGTTGGTTGAAGTCTGTGAACTTACTGTGTGAGAGCTGTAAGATTTGCTGAAGTCTTTTTTATTTGATCACATATGATAAATGCATGCTGCTCATCACACCCATTTCATTGATAGCAGCATATAATTTGAGCTTAAAAAGGGAGCTAAAACATTGGAAAACAAATATTTTTCTTTGAATGATGAACAGAGTATTAATATATTTGAAGTAAACGGAAATTTCAGGAGTATAGAATAATAGGAAGACACTGGCAATTCCTGTCTGACAGCGACCACATCGGTGGTTTGTAATCTACTGCAGTGCAAAAAACCTTGTACTGGATGAATTTGACATAGTCAGTCTAAAGAGGATGTTTCTTCCTGTTTTTCTTGGTTTTAATTGATCTTTGTTTTCTAACCTTTATGTACATGTGTACTGTTTGGAATGCTTTTTGACTCCTGCACATCTATTGATCTCTGTGTCTTGAGCAGCAAGGTTCAAGATACACTAGTGTTGTCTGAAAGGCAGGAATATTTCCTTTTATTAAATACCTGACTTTTTAATGTTGCTGAATTGCAGGTGTTTGGTAGAAGGAGTGAATGAGAAAGTTTGGTTTATCTTCCTTTCTGTGAGCCTCTTAAGTTTTTGCTTCCAATTTTTTTAAAAAAACTAAGGCCTCTATTTTTTTTTTTTAAATTTTCTAATTCAGGTACCTTATTGTATTTCAGAGTATTTTTACAAACTTTTTCTGAATCCATTCCTGTGAAGTCAGTGACTGGAATTGATTTTAACACTCTTAGTATCTCTTACTCCATTCTTCATCTGTCCTGTTCTTGTGTCTGCCATTCAAACTCCATGTAGACTTTCAGATCTTCCTTTAATGATATCTTTGGATTGTTCTGTGTCCCCTGCATTTGATTGTGACTTGAAAAATCAAGTGTGTATCTTTTAATTAAAAATATGAGGCATGTCTCTGTGAACCCTTTAAATATCAAAACAAAGCTTCAGGGGAATTCTTCTCCCCCTTCTCCCCTCCCCACCCCCCGCACTGGTATAGAGTGAATGGATGCTGGATTGCACCACCTCTCTGTGTACACTGATGATCTCATTTTTCTGAAGCAACCAGAAAAAGCTCTTTATTATTATTATTATTTATTTATTTATTTTAAATGAAATTATGATGTACTTTTGAGCTTGTTTTATTCAAAATAATGGTAAAGTGGACCTACTTCCATCAAAACTTTTCTTATTAACTACTCAGTGTTCAGGAAAGATTGGTGAATAACTAGCTAAGGAGACAACGGTGATGTAACTTCAGCATCAGCTGGTTATTCGTTTCTTTTTCACCTTGTGCTGGATCTGGCTTTAAAACAGTGTTGATAATACACCAGTGTTCTGCCTGTTGCTGAACAATGTTTGCACAATGTCAAGGTTTTCTTTTCCTCTGCTCTGCCTCCACTACAGTAGGTATGCATGCGGTGGGCAAGAGATTGGGAGGATACACTGCTGGGTCAGCTGACCAGAACTGGCCAGGGGAATAGTCCATACCATGTAACACCATGCTTAGCAATGAAAACTGGAAGTAGAGGAAGAAGAAGGGGAGAGGGAGGTTGGCTTCCCAGGTAGCTGTTGCTCGTAGACTGGCTGGGCATCAGTCTGCTTGTGGAAGATGGTGAGTGATTTCATTTGCATCACCTCCCCACCTCTTTCCTTCACCTGTTAAACTGCTCTTGTCCCAGTCCATAAGCTTTCTCACTCTTTTTCTCCAGTTCACTCCCCTTCCTACTCGGGGAGAGTTGGGGAGCCCGCCAGTGGGTGTGTGGCTGCTTACCTGCTGGCTAGGGTTTACCCACTGCAAGTCTGAAATGCAGTCACAGCAACTCCAACAATATTTTAAACCTGGATTCTAGCAGCATAGTATTTGTCACAGGTCTGAAAGAAAGCTTGGGGGTTATATATCTATTTGTTTTCACTGTAATGTATAAAGTTGTTTGAATTATGAAAGTTTAGGATTACTAGCCTGTTCTTTGAAATGCCTCTGTTAAATTTTCCTAGTGTCGTCTTGGACTGAGCAACCTGGATCTGTCTGGTAAATTGAAGTGTTCTTAAAGTGTTTGACAGTGTTTCTTGTACTTTCTTGCTCTTTAAAGGTGGTGGATCCTTTTTCATGTTGTCACATAAGATGAAGTTTACAGTGTTAAAAAACATTTAAAAAACTCTCATTGTTTTTAATACTGTTTTTTGTGGTCAAAGATGTTGATGGCATAAAGTGCTCTATGCTTATCTTTTGGTCAGTTCATATGAAGGGCAGTTTTGGTATCAAAGGATAGTTGTTAACAGCAAAAGAAGGCAAATATTGATCTAACTTCACCCTTTCACATGCAATTTTAGTTCTTTCTTAAAGAGCTGTATAGAAATTTTCAAAACACCTTTGGTCTGGATCTAGAGCTTGTCAAGATCTCTTATTATCTTTCTCCTGAAATAAAACAGTGGATCTCCTGAACATAGGCCTGCCATCACACTTGTGTGTCAACTACGTTCATCATAAGTCTAAAAAAAATTATATTATCAGCGGAAGAATGGTCCATCTGAAACTACCAGACTACCAGGAACATTTGTTTTTCTTTCCTCTTTAGAATCTGGATAATAGAGGGCATAATGTCACCAACATTAGACTTGTTTAAAAAAAAAATAAAAATCTTTAGATCATGATACAGCAGTTGTATATACTTTCTTCCTTCCTGTGAGGTGACATTGATTTTTTTTTTTTTTTCCACATTGGGATTTTTCACACAGGGATATACAGCTGTCTGCATTGCAATGGGGTAAGATTACTGTAGTTCTAAGAACTACCTACTGAGGAGTTTTACGGGTGTGCAGCCATCCATCTGCTAAAGAGTAGAAAACCCATTATGTTGTCCCTAACCAGTTTTCTAACTTATTTTTACTGTTATTTGAGGTTACATCAGTATACTTGCTCTTTGCAGAGTCCCATCTTTAGAGCAGCATTCCTGTAGCAGTTAGAGATATTGGCAGAAGGAGCACAGGGAGATGCAAGAAGAACTTTCTGGATCAGATACTTAGTCCTGTCAAGCCATTGTGGAGATATACCATAGTGTAAAGTTCTCATCATTCATGTAAGATTATTGCAATAGGATGCTACTTAGGTGATCTCAGTGCTGTGCTTTTGGGAGCCCAGATCAGTCCCTGCTGTCTGTAGATAGGCTTGGAGAGGAAATGGATTTCAGAAGCAGAAACCTTCTGTAGGATGTATTGAAATCTAAAGGAATCTAGAAATAACCTTATGAAATAGGGTCTATACGTGAAGGCAGATCTGTGCAACAGTATGTCTGTAGGAAAGAATGGTTGAATAAGAAAGATGTGGAGTAGATTTTATTTGTTGTTATTAGCTTTGGACTTTGTTTTATTTTATGTATGTCTCAAAAGGCTAATTTAATTGTTTATTTTCTAAATAGCAGTGGTCTCATAGTGTTGGCAAAGGCTTAAAGGCTGAGATCTTGTTCTTGTTAAATATAGAAGAGAGACTATAAGAGTACTGGAAGCTGTGGGGCCAAATATACTGCATAGGTTAATGTGGTTTACACTGATACTACTGTTCTCCTTCTGCCTTCTATTGCATTGTTTATTTTGTTTGATTGACACATTCTGTATTACTGAGTTGGGGTGAATTATTTATATACTTGTCCACATACACAGAAGTGATTACACTGTGATATTAATAGAAGTGAAAGTAATTAATTTTGCAGCCACAGATTGTTTTGACTTCATTACTTTGAGAACATGTGAAGTATAAATCACATCTTGCTACGAATTAGTGTTCAAGACTGTTCAGATCTGAAACAGCACTGATTAGAAAAAAACTTCCTTCTGTACTTCAGGAATTTCCATGCTAACTACAAAAATCCTTATGTTTAAAAACAAACTCATAGTTGTGTATTTCTAGTAACCGTTGTAGTCACTCTCCTTTTCCTGCTGGGATTCATAAATGAGTGGCACTTCCCAGTGTTTCATAATATCTTTTCCTGAGTTAAGGGTCGTATATGAACTGAAATAACATTCTGCTGCTCAGTTCTGTTACCAGGTGTCTTTCTTGTTAGGCTTATAAATACTTTTCTTAAATGTATTTTTTTTTCATGATATGGAAGAAATAGCATGAATTCTTTAGGTTCTGATGCATAGCAGATAATTTTCTGAATTTATGAATATTTTGACTAAGAGCAAATGTTAAAGGATTATTTGATTGGGTATGTTTTGCTTAGAGTTAATAGTTGTATGTGCAGAATACAGTCAGTGGTATATTAACAGTAGACTTGCAATCTGTAATTCCGCTGTAGTCCACTAACAGTTCAATTATTAGTTCATTGTGTTTCAGTGATCCGTGAATTGTAACTGACTTAATCTTCTGCTTTTTATTCTTTAGTGCTGCAAGTTGGTTGAATAAAATTAAGAACATGGAATATAATAAGGATGCAGTTGCTTGAGCACCGTTTCTTCCATGTATTCTGCAGATTGGTGGCCTGAATGATTGATTGATAAGCAGCATACGCAAGACTACAAGAAAACATTGTCTGTTGCTGCTGTGTTTGCCAAAACTGGTGCAGAGTCACGTGTTCTGAAATGCAGTTGAAAAAAATGAGGGAAATTTTACCAAGATTGTACCCTGGCCAAGTTAATGATAAAAATAATTCTTTAACTACATCCCCAAAGCAATCTTCTCAGGATAAATCAAATCCATCAAAAGAGGATGATGACCAAAACTGCTGTTACCAAGGTACTGAGGCTGAGAACAATAAGTTGTCACTGATAAGCTGTATAAAATGCAGAAGTGTTCAGAAAATTTCAATGCAAGATATAGAAAAGCATAAGAAGCTTGGGTGGACTGAAGACAAAAGTTTCATCTGCAAGAAGTGCAGTCATATTACACCACCAGCTTTCCATTTTTTTCCTGAGGGTACCAATGCTTTAGACTTTGAAAAACATGGAAAAAAATCCCCAAGTAAAACCCAGAAAACATTTAAAGTTAAAAACTTTCTGCCAGGTAAATACTACTGTGATAAATGTAGATTTTCAACAAAGGATCCTTTACAGTACAAAAAGCATGTAGGTCAACATGAAGAAATTAAATTTATTTGTTCCCACTGTAGTTATGTATCCTACACCAAAGGAGAATTCCAGAGACATTTGGTGAAACACACTGGAACTTTTCCGTATCAGTGTGAATACTGTGAATATGGTGCTGTTAGACATGACTATATAGTAAAACATACAAGAAGAGTACATGAAACACCCACAAAACGGCTGTCAAATACTATAATAAACTACAAGCAAAAGAAGCAGAGTCAAAGCACTTTATTTGAAAAGCAGATATATAATAAAATTCCTTTTCAGAATGAATTTTCAAATTCATCTTCAAATATGGTTTCTGAGATTCGAAGTAAAGCAACTAAAACAGTCTGTTTGTCTCATGATGTAGAATGTAGCATAAACACAGCATCAGTCCAGGATAAACCCATATTGGAACCATCTGAAATAAGGGTATGTGAGAATCAAAGTGTGGAAGTTGAGGTTTATTCTCCAAAAACAGAGCCTTTACAGCCTGGGATGCCTTTAACAGTAATTGCACCATCTGAACTTGTAGTTCCTTCTAACTGTTTAGCTCAGATAGTAGAGATTAAAATAGTGAATGGAGCACAACAGCTGGTTCTTAAACTAATTCCTATGAAAGAGGCAACTTACAAACCTGTGAACGGTGCTGAAGAGGAACTTGAGAATCAAGATACAGAACGATCTGCAGAAGGAAAAAAAAAATCTGTGTCTCAAAATGAGTTACTAACTATGGAAGTGAATGTAGACAAATTATCCAGTGTTAGTAACCAGCTTAATTTGGATAGTACATATGACAAGAATTCTGAATGTCTTTGTTTTTCTGATTCTCAACTCTCAGACTGTAACTCTGTATCTATACAGAGGGAAGATGCATCAAAAGTATGCTTTCATTTGGTGAAAGGTATTGATGTCCATTCAGGTGTTATAGAACTTTGTTCTCCGTCTCTGGTGATGAATACTTCTGAAAAAAAAAGTGATTTTAAATCTTCAAGGTGGGAAGTAGATGGAAAAAATAACTTACATTATGACCTGTATTGTTATGAAGAAGGTGTGGATATCCCCCCAAAAAAGTATGCTGCTATTTCTGGAGATAAGAGTTACAAGAACATCTCAGTAGAGGCTGCTCAGGAGGGCAAAAATTTTTCTGCAGTCCTTAAACAAAAGGATCCATTGCCTCTAAAGAGGGATGACAAAGAATGTAGGAGTCTGCCACTCAACTCTACAGAAACACATTTAGCTGGTAAGGGTTTTGATAAAAAATCTGTTACATCTTTTGAAGCAGGAAAAAACTTTCATGTCACTAAAACTCCACCTTACGAGGACATGACTTTTGGCTTTAGTGAAGTAAAGAGAGCTGAAACCATAAGTCAAAAGAACAATCTTCTTCTGGAATCATTGGAACTACAGAACCTGGAAAATAAAGGCAACCCTTTTGAGGGACCTGTTATTTCGTCTGTATTTTCTCTTAGCTCTGGGGCTGAAAACGTTCCAGAGAGCGTCAGATGGGATGACGCAAGATGCAGTAAGAAGTCAGCAACATTGCTGTGTAGAAAGATTGCTCAGCTAATGTCCGCTGCTGAATCTAACATGAAATCCATGCCTTTGAGATGTCAAGCTTCTAGTAAAAAGGTGCTTTTCCCTCAAGAAAATTCTGCAAGCTGTGAGAGAGTTGTTCCTGCCACTGAAGGGGAACAGTCTGCATCTTTGCCTCAGGTGCATGGTGGAAACAGTGTGATTAGTAATGAAGAACACTGTAAAGATCAGCTGCTTACCTTTGCTAGAACATCTAAAAGCAGGGTGACTAAAAATTCCCATGTTGCTTCTCCAGTGTTTATCCCCAAAGGGACAATGCTGAGAGTGCTGAATGCTACTAGTAGTCAAAACTCAAATGGAATAGAAAACAGGAGTGAAACATCATCTCCTTCTACGTATTGCAGTGAAATGTTTCTGCCTCGCCCGGTCCCTGTCAATGTTTCTGAGACACTTAGCAGTAATTTGCCGTGTTTGCCTAATCTGAATGAACTGAATGCTGAGTCTCGAATTGTATCACTCAGGCAAAGACCAAAGCGAGAGGCAAGTATTAAAAATAATAGCAAACAAACTGGTGTACCATTTCAGAAAAGCAGTGATGTGAGTAAGCAAAGCAAACACTATTCAAAAAGTCATCTAGGTTCCAAAAATAAGGCAAAACAAGCAAGCTTCAGGGAACTTCCTAAGAGGAAAACAAGAACTCAATCAGAAACCAGTTCAAGTTCGGACATGTCATATCTGTTGACAGCAAGACGTCTCCGGCTTGTCCCTCTGAAAATGAATCAGTTGATAAAATGCCCTCGTCGTAACCAGCCAGTTGTGGTACTAAACCATCCCGATGTTGACTCACCAGAGATAATTAATGTCATGAAGACTATCAACAAGTATAAAGGTCAAGTCTTGAAAGTAGTTCTGTCAGAAAGGACAAGTAGTTGTCTTGGTGTCAAACGTCATCGAAAGCGTCTTACTCTTCAGAATGTTGAGACAGGAAACCAAGCAAAAAAGCAGAGTATGCTAAAAATGAAACTAAAAAAGACCCATAAAAACAACTACCAGGTGGTGGAAACTTCACCAGCTGACACACTTCAATGTATGTTTAAGTGTTGGTTTTGTGGAAGAGTATATATGGACCAAGAAGAATGGATAAGTCATGGACAGAGGCACTTGATAGAGGCAACCAAGGGCTGGGATGTTCTTTCTCTTCCAGCAAAAAAGCATTAATTGAGAGACGAGAGGGGGTTTCCTCTCTTATTTTTAATGAGTGCTACTAACTTGCTTGGAAAGTAAGATTGAAATAACTGCTTTATTTTGCCAAAAGGTCTCTCCTGTTAGCAAAGTGGGAGAAGAGAGTAGAGTTATAGAGACACAGAGAAGTTGATAGTGAGGATTAAGCACTACTTTGCACTCTCATGTTTGAGGTTTGTATTAGAGGTCAGCTTTGTCTCTTCCGTAGGATAGATTTGAAAAAGATTTGCTATGCAAGCATCTTTCTAGTAACCATTCTTTGTACTAGGATACTGTGCTGTAACTGGTTTGTGCTAGGTCTATATGGATTAAAATCTTAGATGATGATATCTTTGTAAATTTAACAGGGTTTAGTTTGCTTTATTACAGCATGGTGTTTCAGAGATCGAGCATACATATAATGAAAAGCACCTTTGATCCTCTGTGGGCAGCAAGTGTATATCACAGGTTTTAGTGTCAAATTAAGCATCATGCATAAAAAAGTAAAACTTAAATGCAAGTACTCCATTTCAGTGAAACAAAACCACTTCTGCTGACTTCAGAGTTGATACAAGGGAATAAATGAAGAATCTGTGGGACCAGAGTTACTCCCACTAGGTCAGATAGCACTAAAAAATGTAATTTTGTTTAGTACTTAGTCTTTACCTATCGTGTATTGTGTAGATGTGAGACAGAGCAGAACACTGTCAGCTTTCTGTACCGTCTTTGTTCTGAACAGGCAGAGCCAGAGATATTATCAGCCTTGGACCAACAGGAGAGAGAAGCTTTTCTCTATATGGTCTCAAGGCTATTCTGAAATGTAGGAAGTGATAGGCAGATGTAAACCTTCCACCACTGTGTGTGTAGCCTGATAGAAACACACTTGCAGAATTGGGCATTTGGTTAGAACTCCAGTTGGTGAGTTAATGCTTATTTACAGGGGGAACTTGTTGAAGATGAAGACTTTTCAAAACGAAAAACCATATTGCACAGCTTTTACATTGACAGTGTTGAACCAGATTCAGTGCAATCTTTCATCCTTCTTAATCTTAATTAAATGCTGTTAGAATATATTTTTTGTAGGCCTCAATTTATACAAGCATGTGCCTAGTTACATATGTACATCTAACATGTATCTCCTGACTTCAGTACAGTGTAAACATTGCTCGGTTGCTTAAACGCTTCCAAAATCAGAGCCAAATTTCACGTTTTTAGTGAAGAAGAGGGATGGACAATACTGAAATCTAATGTTTTTGGACATGAACAATAGGTGTTTTTCTTCATCTTGTAAATTTTAAATTGTTTTAAAATCATACAGAATGAACTATATTGAAGCACACACTTAAAATTGTAAATCACTTCTTACATTTTTACAGATAAGAAAATCAATAATGACTCTAATGCTGGATATGTGTTCTATGTTTGAACTGAAATTACTCTTGAAAAACTGTTAGTTCCTAATTCTTTTCACAGTCATTGCATTTTTGTAAACAGTTTAAGCTGGAAATATTTTTAGTATACTCCAGCAGATTATACATTGTTTTGATAAAGTATGTATTGTATCTGTGTTGAAATGTAAATATTTTAAAACTACATCTGACTGAGGCTTATTTTCAAAACCAGTTAAAACATTGCTTTCCAGTCATTTTGCAATACAGTGTTAAAACCCTTCAGATAGTTGGTGCTTTAAGTCAGATCTTTTTCATTTTTGTATCATTTTTATCAGACTAACCTATTCCACAGAACAAACTTCCTTTTGTCTGTTTTGTCAGTAGTAATGAAATGACAGTTCTCATTTTGTATTCAAATGGAATTATATTTTTTTAGATGGGTACAATAGAGGGTTTTTTTCACTTCATATACTTTGATGCCAAACCTAACAGTACTATTTGCAGTTTTAATTGTGAAAATTGCTTCCATTTTAAAATTCTGGCATATCATATAATAAATATTGAAATTGTTAACGTAAGAAAAAACATGGTTAAAATTCCACCTTTGTTTTAGCTCCTTCAGTCCAGGTTACTGTTTGAATTAATTTTGTTTCTGTAGAAGCTACTAAATAAATAGTTTTGAATTTGCATTATAAGAGTTGTCACTGGCAAAACTGGAACATTCCCCATGAAAGCTGTACTGGGGGGGCAGGGTGGGGAAGTGTTGTTGCTCAACATTATAAAGTTCAGGTGGTTTAAGAATACTAGTAATGCTTATCTTTTATAAGCAAGTTTACTGTTTTAGTAAGCATCTGCAAAGCTTTGTATGTCATTGTTGTGATCTGCTATCTAAATTGTTAAGCTGTGGGGTTTTTTTCATGGGTTTAGTTTAGATTTTTTTTTTTTTATTTTAACATGAAAACCTTTTGTAAGTTAATTTGTATAATGGCTATGATTCAGAGCAGATTGTCATGCCTCTTTTTTTTTTTTTTTTTTTTAATGAGATCTACCAAACTACTTAGCAGCTTCTGTTTTGTTAATTTTCAATCTGTTATGAGATAATGTCATGTCAGAATATTTTTCTTCAAGTTTAACAGTCTCAGTGGTTTGAGAGAAATAATTATAATGCAAGTTCTCTTGCATTTTGATCTAAGATTGAGAAATGAAAAAGTTGCAAGGAAATAACGACCAACTGCTAAATTTTTTTAGAACTAGTTTGTGCCACTGCATACACTACATCATAATTTGGGTTGGAATGCCATGTTTTGGGCTTGAATATTTTTATTATTCTTGTTCCTATTCTTTAAGGGTAAAGTAACTAAGGTTTCTTTCTTGATATAGTCCGGTTACCTAGTCAAACTTCTGACTGTGCTTAGAAAGGAAGGTTACGAATGCTTTGCAGAAAAATACTGAATTTTGCCTTTCATCTTTATAATAAATTTTGTTAAGCCTCTCAAAACTCTAATTATATGAATAAATATTATAATATTTTTTGCTGGAAAAATATCACCTTCTCGTCATCTTTGATACATGCTGAAATGTGTTTTCTTGCAGAGCTTGAAGCACATCTACTGTTCCCGCTGATGATTTTTATCTCTGTATTTGCACATGGTATGAATTCAAAGGGACTGTTTGCATAATGGTCCTACTATGTAAGTGTTTGAAGGCTTAGATATGGAATACGAGTATCTGCTAAAGAATAAGTGTTAAGTAATATAATTTACATAATTAAAGCTAGCTTTATAATCTGCTGCAATACCTGTGAGCACCAGCTGACACCCACTGACTTCAGGGACTGCTGAGCACAGCTTTTTACTCTACAAGCACGTATGCACACTGAATGAAATTCTTAAACACTGGATACACAAGTAGCATTTAATGTGTATTTCTAAAAGCAAGAGTAATTTTTATGTGAGGGTACTGTGTTTTATTAGATTTTGATACTAACTGAGCTTCAGTGACAAGGTAAGCTAGACTGAGTTTGATTTGCATCTTGTGTTAGAAGGTACGGTGCAAGATAAGCCAATTAGTCATTGTCAAAGTGTCAGGAGTCAATCTCTCTTAATACTTTTCTGTGAATTAATACAATAGCATATACTTTACCTGTCAAATTTGAAAACAAATTGCAAGAATCAAAAAATGGAGTAGATCTGTATTCTCAGTTGGGAGGTAAGTTTTTTTTGGTGGAACATTTAGAATACTTCAAAACAAATTGCAAGAATCAAAAAATGGAGTAAATCTGTATTCTCAGTTGGGAGGTAAGTGGAACATTTAGAATACTTAATAATATTATGGGGAGCTCCTCAGTGAAAGGTTAGTTTGATTTTTAAGACATTTAAATAATTTTTCTGTTTACATCTATACAAATAAATTAGTGACATTAAGGCAGAAAACATCTTGTATGTAACTTGAACGGATATGTAAGGTAACATTGTTCTCTCTGGATTCCTGCTTTATCCTTTCCGTCAATGAGTGTGATGGGAACATATTTGTAGAAGTCAATGATCTCTTTCACAGAATTAAATTTCTGGGGGTGGGGGGGGAGAAAAAAAATGTAATCAGTGACTGAAATGAATTTGCTATATGGTTTTATCTATAACATTAAAAGACTTGCAAATCACAGTATTAGAAATAGGTATATTTTGCATAGAATTATGATTAGATTAAGTGGAAGCTATCATAAAAGGAAAAGCACCAGATTTTAATCCTCTTTTTTCCTACACAAGACAAAGACACACAAAGGAAATAGCAGCTGGCTGTTTAGGACAAAGGAGGAGCATGTGTAAGCCCTGAGAATGCAGTATCACCTGTAAAAGTTTGTGATAGTGGATGTGATGATATATTTTGAAAAGATGAAGCAACTATAAATCATTACTAACTTTACCCTGTCAAAAGTTACACTTAATTAGCAGTACAGGATACTTTACACTGCAAGTTTCTTTGTACCTTTTCAAATGTACCTTTTATTTTCCCATTCAGTTTACTGAGAAAGTTGATATAAAATCCCTTTAAAGTATGGAAAAAGAAGGATCTCGGCAGGGCTTTAGTCTTGTTCTCTGGTGTTCAAAACAGTGACATCCTCCAAGCCCCTTCCTAAAATTATAAAGGTGTAGTTTGAGGTTCCTGAACTGATCAAACAGCAGTGGAAAGCTGTCCAAGGTATTTATTGTCATTTATCCTGCCATTCCAATGGTTAGCATTCCTTCAGTTTAACTTCTGTGTGTAACTTCTAGGCTATTATCACACCACATTTTCTCCACTCGAGCTGTTCTTTGGACTTACTGGTATTACACGACTAGACCTGTACACAGTAATGCAAGCTTACTGTGATATTAATACTTATCCTGTATCTATATTATATCACATTAACTGCAGTCATGGGCATTGATTGTGTATGTTATGGTATCTCATGGTAGTCTCTATCATCTCGACCTGATCTACACCTAGTTTGTAACAAGAGAATCTGATTAAATCTCTGATTTGATGAAATTGTTCCTGTTTTACTTTAAGATTTTTAAAGTTGTGTTTTGATAATTTTTTCTTGTATGCATTTGTTTTACTTTGCTGTTTTGTGTTTGACTGATGTTCAAGGTCACTATTGCTACGAGAAATCCAGGGAAAACTGTGGTTTGTATTTCCTGCTACACCAAAGTAATCCTAACTTTTTTTTTTTTATTCTAAATTTACTCATTATCAGTACCAATTATTTTTCCTGTTTTCTAGTACAGTTTTTGGTTGGAAAGTTAAAGAGTTTTACTGTAATTGCTCATCTGCTTTGAAAATTTAACTTGGCTTCACTTTGCTAATGTCATATTGTTCATCACTGTACCTTTAAGCTCTTTGGTAATGAGGGAAAAACGTCTCAGATGTTACTTAGATCTCTTTTCCTATTTTATTTCATCCTATACTCTTCTTTGAGTTAGTGAGATTTAAAATATTAAGCTCCAAGTCTCTTCATGGATGCTGGAACATGAAGCTGACTTAGACATCATAGTGATGAGCACTGTTCCAATTTTATGTTCTCAGCTCTTTTAATGGAACGTCACACTTTGTTAGGTGTGAAGACACCTAAAGACATAAAGATGAGTAAAATTCAATGCTACAGATTTCTTCGCTTCACTGTCTGAAGAGACTCAAACCAATCTCTGCTGTCATAGAAATGTCCTGCTGGTCTCCAGACTGTTCTGAGGAGATAAGAATAGGGTCTGAAGGATTGCTTGTCAAAGGTGTAGTTTGAATTGCTTTGAAGTGGAAGTGGGGCTCTGTACTATGTTGCACATACTGAATTAAAATGGTTCATCCTTGTGCTGTCATTTAAGCTGTGGACAAGATGATTACCTTGTAAACATCTCTCTCAGTTGAAAGTATTAGCATCACCTGACAGGTCACTGTGCCCAGTTTCCTGATGGTAACTTTTCACGTAAGTCTGTCCGTGATAGAGGTTGTGGAAGTGCTCCTTCATCTACTCTAGAGTCAGGCCAGTGTAATGGCAGATAAAGGTAGTTGGTGCTAATTGATTTTACTTGCTTTCAAACAAACTGAGTTGAATTGATGTGACTTGTATGAGCAATGGTTTGAAAATGAAAGGTAGCTGCAAATAATGACAGGGAGTGGTGAGGATGGAGAAAACATCTTTGTCCAGAATGGTGAGATCCAGAGATATGCAGAAGCTTACAGCACAGCCAGATGTGTAAAACAGACACTGAGTTGAAGAAGGAGACTACTTCTGACCTTGTTTTTTAGCTACTGCATTGTGAATTGAGCCTGGTGCTGAAGACATGGTACGAACATGTATTTTGTGGCAAATCTAGTTTTGGAAAGGCAGTAAGAAAAATATTTAAATTTTGTCATGATCAGCTTTAAATGTGAACGAGGTTCTGAGTTCTTTACCTTAAAAAGAACTGTGTACATGTAAAGAAGCAGCATTACATACATCTCTGGGTCTTTAATATTGAAAACTGACTGGAGTGGAGGAAGGCAACAGCCAAGTAAAAGGTGATCAGGACAGCAGTTTTAGCAGGTGCTTAAATTCCATATTTGTCCCATTTGGGGATCTGGTCTTTATAGCTTTATGTGATTTGGCCTTTAGTGAGCTCAGAATAATGTATGAAATATGGATGTAGATGTGAACATCTGTGGCTAAATTCCTAGCAAAAGATACAGCTCTACTAATAGTGGTTTTTTTGTGTTCTGTTTTGTTTTTTTTTCTATGCTTGTGTTCATTTTATTCCAGCTTGATACTAATTTAGCTGCATGGGACTGCAGTTACTTGTCGTTGATCACCGTCACATTAACATAGAAGTAACAATTTTTTAAATTAGACAGAAATATGATTTTAAAAAAGTTAATAAAACTCTTTTTTTGGTCATAGAAAATGTTAACACCTTGTAAACTGTATGAAAAATTAAGAGTTGCAATCAGATAGGGAAAAAATTGAATAATTATGTGTAAGAAAAAACAAGTATTTAATGGATGGAAACAGACTAATCCAAAAGTAAAAATTTCTAAGATTGAACCTTTGAATAAAATGAACAACTGGGGAGAAATGTAATAGGTCTGCACCTGTTTGTTGTTGTTTAGGTTGAATTCTCTTTATCTGGTGAAGAGGAAATACTCAGTTAATCTGGTCTGTTTGCATTGCATAGTGCAAAATGTGGTGTAACAAAGGATTTCCCTGTGGAGGAACAACACAGAGCACTCTGGAAGGCATTTTAACAGGCATTGGAAAATTACAGGTAGCATTTTGCTGTAATATACAGCCTTACAAATTGTTTTCACCCTCCTGAGATAAGAATCTTAAGCGAGAAGTTGAGATGTCAGTTTTCAGGAAAGAACGTTTTTGGGGAATCCTTTCAGGCTGCCCGAGATGGAGGTAGCTCTGCTGAGCAAGGTTGGTGCGGTTGATTGTTCGTTATTGGACATGTGCTTTGTGCCCAATCCAGTGTTAAGTTTCTTTTCATGTCTGCTGCTGAGAATAATGCATAGAAGTGGGGAAGCTGCTGCTTCTTTGGCTCCCTGGTACTACACAAAGCTGACTAGCGAAACAGTTCTGAAATTTTCTGTTGTAGTTGATCTATGGGAGGATTTCTGAATTGAGGAGAAACAATACTCTGTTAAATAAGAAGGTTTGAGATAATGTGTCAGAATTACAGATTTTGCCTGGTAGAGCCAAGTCTTATATATACTGTTGGTTATTAGTTAGATGCTTGAAATCCGTATTCTGGAATTGTAACTTTCCAATTTGACTGTTGTCAGACCAGACCCACTGTTTAAGATACACACTTTCTGTGCACAAGTTGGAACATGCAACAAAGTAATATATTTTGGTATTTCCTGAGATGGGAAGGATTGTGTTACCTTTCCTTTTAGTTCAGTAAAAATTATTCACGTATTGTTCAGGTTGCAATTTTCTAGTTGCCTTAATTTTTTAAGTCTGTTAAAATTATGAAAATTTAGTTTTATGTTTTTAATATAGTATGTGTATGGTAAATTATAGAATATCCTGTAGTGTACCATATTTCAGTTCCATTCTTTTTTTTTTTTGTCAGTCTAATCTGAGCCTATTTTTATCAGGGCCATTACAAGAAGGCTAAACAATACAAGAACTACAGAAAACTAAACTTGCTTTCTCCTAAGTCATACTAAAACTCCAGGAAATTATCTGGGAGGTTTAGTTCAAAAATGCAGACAATATTTTACATAAGACTGATGGTTCACTACAGCAGTGCCAAAGTGATGGTACCTGCAGTACAGTTTTCGATTTGTTCTATGCTTCTGCTTCCCAAACTATTTCAGTGTACTTGAACAATGAAGGATATTTTTCCTTCATTATTATAGCCGTGCTCCTGAAGAACAGCTTGCCAGTAAACCTTGCTCCTCATCTCTGAAAGCTCATGAATCCTATTCCACGTTTTCTACTAAGAATCCAAATGTAAATCTTGGACCTGCCAAATTTATCAAGTTAGCTTGCGTCAGTTTTGATTTCAGAGTTTTTTTAAGTCTGTGTCTAGAAAAGGTAAGTTTTGAAAGTATTAACATGCATGTAAAGGACATAATTGAATATTCAGCTACAGAGGCTTTGCTGTTTCTCCTTAGTTGGATTTCTGTCTGTTGTTTACATAGCTAATAACCCTCCTAGTAGTTTGTTGCTTTGCTTTTTTGCTGTGCAGCTGGTCCTCCCTTATGCTGAATTTCATGCTTAGCTGAGCATTCTTTAAGGATTTTTTTTTTTTTTGCAAGTATCACGTGTTTGTAGAGATGACTATTTCAGTTTTAACTTTCTTTTTCTTGTGTGAAAAACATGTGGATACAGTATTTGTTATTTAACCATATAGGTAGAATAAGAATTAGACTCTTATAATGAATATAATTGAATTTAATTATGTAAAAAAGTGTTGCTAATCTAAATGGAATTTCTAATTGAAATTTACCACAGCTGAAAGATTGATTGGTGGGGACCCACATGATTTAATAGCGTCTGAATAGCCAAATGACAACTTTTCTCCTATTTCCTCATTTTTTTTTTAAAAGATATTGATTCCTCTTTTGCTATATGAGAGACAGACAATAGGAGACATTATGCAGCAATGACAGCAACAGACCATGCTGTCAGTTATGTGGAGTTGCATATATTTTAAAATATCTGCTTATATTATAACAAGTTAAAAAATATGCTGAAGGAAAGGGAGGACTTTCTTTCCCCTTTACTTTGCAGGTGTTACTTAGAGTAGGTGAAGGTACTTAGGAAATTTTTACATCAATTTAAAATCTGAATTTGAGCCAGGTATGTAAAATTCAGTTTTAAATTGTTATCTTATGTTGCTTGAAACTTGGAGACATACTTGAAGTAAGAATATGGGAAAAGAAACTTTAATGAAACAGCAAGTTATGTGGGAGAGATTATAACAAATCTTTTAGTATTAAGAACTTGTGAAGTGCAACATAAAAGCAGTGGACTGTAACATTAGAGGGGATTTTAACTTACATCATCTCCTCTGAGCCCTGTTCCCAGTGCGTATTGTTGGCTTTCTTCCAGAAAACGTACTTTAATGTTGTATACTCTTCTTCCGTAATAGACAACCAAAACATATGGTTCAGCATTTGATTTCTTTGAACAATCTCTAACCAAGAAGGTCTCATCCTGTACAACACATTTAAATTATGGATTGTACAGTTAGTTCACAATAAAACCTTCTAAGCCATCATGGACAGTTCATAGACATTTTTTTCATGAGTTAACACTACAGTTTTTGAGAAAAATGGTACTTACGGTGTTTTCCTCCAACAGTGCCTGCTCGGCTTCATGGCGATCATATTCTCCAATGTACCATTCATATTTGCTTAAATCCTTAATTTTAACATAATATAATCAGTGTATAGAAATTAACCACAGCTGGCAGAAGCAAAAGCCAGTAAAAACAGATTATATCTAATCTGCATTTAAAGCAAGTTTAACACAGTTTATAAAAAATAATTGTAATGCATCTGTATTGAGAAATCCTGTTAGGGAATCTGAATAAAATTAGGCATCTGAATTCTTATCTGTGATTTCAAGAGCTCACATCGGACTGTTTTCAGGGGTTCTGAATACCCACAGCCTTCAGACCATTTAAATTCTCAGGAAAATGTTTTCAGTAAACAGCAGTTCTATGGGGGGGTTGTGCGTGTACGCCTTATAGTGATAATCTTGTTTTCTAAAAACCTGTCTCCTTATGAACGGTTGGACTCAATGATCTTAAAGTCTTTTCCAGCCAAAGCAATTCTATGATTCTTTCAACTGAATCGTTCTTTACCTTTTCAGTGGGTTGAGTGAGAGATTGCATTTCCTGTTTCACAAGTGAATGTTCTGATTTATTTTTGCATGCTGTGCACGGTGTAGGAGATGGTGACCACTTCACTGACAGATTCTCTACGTTTAACGTGGACCCTGTAAAAGTAAATTCAGAAGGAAAAAAGTTGTATTTTTTAAACTTAAGTTATAGTTTCATTTTACCCTATCAGTTTTACTTAGTAAGTCTAAGAATAGCATTTACAGTTTAAAAATACAGTATTGTGAAATTTAACCATTAAAATTCAGAGCTGTCAGTTATGAGTGGTCTTGTACTGATGCAGCACCAGTGATTTCAGATTCATGCCCCAAAAGGTTTAACACATAAGTTTCCTCATGGTTTTTAATTTACATCACTCTGCCAAGTTCTTGCCCACAGAAACATAGTGAAATATTAAAGATAAACTACTAATGAAATAGCAAATGATAAATAAAATAATAAATGTGTGACTTTGATATTCTACAAGTGTAACAGTTCATTCTGTTCTACTTTCAACTTTTCAGGCCCTTGTATTTGTGTTAGATCAAAGCTACTGTTACGTTGGATCATATTAAAGCCCCTTATTATCCTATTGCCAGCTCGCATTGTTTCCACCAAGCTGTTAAAACCTTAAAGGATTTAGAGGTTTTGCCTTGTTGATGGATTTCAGTCTGCTCTGCAAAAATTTAGGACCAAGCAGCAAGGTTGCTCTTGCATTAAGATGAAGGCGTTGGTCCCCTGCTGCGTGTTCCTGCTCCATACTGTACAGCTGAGAAGGCAGCCACCTGAGGGAGCTTAGGTAGCTGAAATCCATCCTCCCAAAGCAAATGTGATTTGCCGTCTGTTGACTTAGGGCTGCCATTTACCAGCCGGCCATGTCACTGAGGAGCTGTGTGAGTTCAGGGGGACGGGGAAGGGACACCAATTGTGGGGTAGTGTGGGAGGCTCAGGCTGAGTCAGATGAGGATGCAGCAGAAGCAGCATGAGAAAAGCAATGGTGTCTTTCAATGTTTACATCAAATAGAATTTGCAGGTACACAACATGGGGGATAAAATGGTTAATTGAAGAATAAAACCTGTCATATCCTGCTCGACAACAGAAAGCATTTTTGTTTGTTCCATGCAATGCTGGTGGGAGAAATGACCTAGTGTCTATTGTAAGACTAAATGAGAAAAATGTGATTATCGATGGCTTCCATCTTTTCCTTCTGATTACTGTCACAAGAGACAGTACTGTTTGCGCAGTATTTCATTATGTTTTATCTATTGTTCGTGCTTTATCAGTTTATTATTTTTCTGACCATACATAGCATATGATGGAATATTAAAGAAATTCAGCTTGAAAGACATTGTTTTACAGAAGAAGAGTAGTTTTCCCTGCATTTCACTGTTTCATGCATATGTGTACCATGTTCTGGTTTATAACAGCATTACGTTTGTTGGTAAATCAGTAAACAGTGTCCACTGATCTAGGTAGACAAACAGCCATGGTCTTCAGCAGGCAATCAGTCTGTTCTGAAATGAAATCACTGTTCCAAGGGTCTGGGACCGGATAGCTACATGGTATTTCTGCAATCAGTTTGTGTTGTGAAAATGCAAATACGTCACCATTCAGTGGCATTTGGGTTCACATTGCACTTTTGCTGGCTATCCCCAGATACTTTATTTTTAAAAAGAGACCTCACAACTGGGACCATGTTTGCTTTGTGACTGGTGCTGTGTATGTTCGGTAGAATTTTTGTTTCTGATTTTTTTTTCCTGGTATGTCTTAAACTGTGGGACAAGAAGTGGAAAATTCTCTTGCAAGGCTGTGGTCTGGTTTTGTCTGGGATGGAGTTAACAGCTCACTGAGAAATTAAAGAGTGTTTTAGATTTTTGAACAGAAAATAATTTGTTTTCAAAATAAAAGCTAGAAATATCAGAGAGAGAAATATATACTTTCATAGGATAATAAAAAATTGTATAAATTTTATAAAACTAATATTTCTTCTTTAAGTATTTTTTAAATCCAAACATGGACCTGAAAGGAAATTGTAGGATAGCAGGGGGAAAGGCCATTTGTTTGTTCTCTCTCTGTTGTTTCATGAGGGTAAGGAATTCACAGAAGAGGAATAGGAGATTGTGCTGTTCCAGAGACCCTGAATGACCAAGAGCTGTGGTAGGGATGGTAGGAAGTGTCTGAAGTGGAGATGGGTGTGGGGCACCTAGGAAAAAGACTGAGAGACTGCTCAGAACAGCAGGAAGCAGAGACCTAGATGAGCTTTGTGTATTCTGTAAAGACAGATTTTTTAATAGGTATCAAGAGGATACCTATTGCACCTCCAGCACAAAAAGGACATTAATAACCAGAAGTGGCTCAGTGAAAGGCAACCACCAGAGTCAGGGAACTGGAGCCTGTGAAACAAAGCTGGGGGAGGTGGGCTTATTTAGCCTGGCAGTGACTGAAGTTAAGGTGAATGCTACTTTATCTGAACAAACAATACAGTTTGTATGTTCTTCCTGGTGTTATTTGCTTTTACCATAAATTCATATTATGCAACTCATAGCTTCTTGGCACAGCTTAGGGATTTTGATACAGAAGGGCATTTGCAGAGGCAGTTAAGGAAAAATATAAAAGCATGGTAAGTGTAGTCAAGGACAGTAGGAAGTTACCAGCATGGATGACTCCTATAGGGATTTCCATAGAAATTTGGGGTTAAATATTCATGAGGTCATATTTTTCTAAAAGAATTGAGGTAGAGTGGTTGGTGGACAACAGATACAATATGATATGACAGCAGAAAGCTAACACAACTTCTAATACCGTTTGTAGAAGTATCATTGTCAAGATTAGGCAGACGATAGGCATATGAATCAAGTGATACTGCTCCTGTGTATTGCATTAGGTTCTGGGAATCTTAAAGAAGTCCAGGGAAAATGAGCAGAGGGACATTGTCACGGTTCTTGGGTAAGCCGTAACACAGTTTCTTGGCAGGGCACCCCACCAGTGTTAATGCTGGCTTCCAGTGTGTTCCCTTAGGTAAAGCCACACAGTTCAGGGATGTCCTATTTCCAACCATAATAATTTGACAGACCTGCCTGATAATGGCACCTGCAAGTGCTTCCCTCTAGGAATCTGGGGTAAGTCTAAAGCAATTTCTTCAGAGACCAGTGTATTTGTTTACACAAAGGCATTAAACCGATAGTAGCTGCTCTATGATGTCCTGAACATCTGTAACTTCTATTAAGCCCAGCTGATTGCATCTTTGCCTGGAAAAGCAGAGACTGTTGTGCTCACAGCATGGTCTCTCTCTGTGAGTGTCTCTTTGTATGCCCAATTTGTCTTCTCTTCCTCTCCCCATTGTCCTTCAGTGGCTTGTCCACATCCCTTTCCTTTTCTGGGTGTGGAGATCTGCAGTGGTTTAACACTTGCATTCTTGATTGGTCATTTCTTAGTTTGAACCAGGCATGGGTGCAGCTAAGCAAGTAACTCAGCCTATTTCTTTACTGCTATTGACTGTGCCATTGTTTCCCTTGTTTTCTGCTTGCTTTCTTTAACAATCCCTTTGCACTAACTCTGTGCATTGAAAATCCCCAGTGCAGACATACACACGTAGAAACATGAAGCTGTTTCTTATTCATATTTATCCCTGCCTGGTTTAGTTTTCAAAGCAATCCCTGGTTCTTACCTGAGCTGCAAACACTTTTAGAGCTCCATGTACATTGAAGGCTAGGAGAAAGCAATGAATATTTCTGTTAGTGGCAAGTGTTTAAGCAAGAGTCAAATTAGAGTGCAATGCATAGCTATGCTTCCCCAGAATACCCCTTCCTCCCTCTGCAGATTGCAGCTTTGGGCCTTCCTGGGTTTCAGGTAGTAATTTTGTATTTAGCATCTTTTGACTGATTTCTCTTCCATTAATTTCATCAGTGACTTTTTGAAGTTATATAAATTTTAACTCTCCACAAGAGTCTTTGGCAAGAGTTTCGCATTTTAGCAAAGCACAATTTGCTTTTGTTTGTTTTGTTCCCCACTAATTTCACCTGATGTTCCCAGCCCTTCTGTAGGATGACTCAGGGAGCAATTGTTCCCTCTCCTTTCTGATTTTCTAGGCTGCTGCTGAGTACCCAGCTGGTATTTTGTTGTGCTATTAATTAGAACGGTTACACTGGGAAGAGCACGGACCAAATAACCTCACATAACAGAGCCGCTGGTACCATACTAGAAGAAACAAAATACTAGGTGTCACAAATACTGCCACATTTGTTCCAGACAATAATTTTATCTTGGTGAAATGCCATCATTGTAAACAAAGCTAGATGAGAGATTCAGTATTTGTCTAGGAAAGATGTAAAATAATTCATCTTTTTCCTATACTTTATCCTATATTTTTGTTTTTTGTTGAATATTTTAGGAGGATATAGATGTTAAAAAACATTTAGAAAAGAAAGATTTGCCTATGTTAGAAAAGAAAAATGGGAGCAATTGTGGCTGATTTCTATGGAAGAATAATTGGCCTTTGGAAGGCCAAGTATGTGTTCTTTGTATATAAAAACAGAAAATAAGCGGGAGAGGAAATGCTGAGACTGGAGATGGCAGAGCTCCTTTATACTGTATATTTAACACCCTATCACAGAAAGTGAGGCAAAAATGTAATACAGTAGGATGCTATTAAAGATAAAAATTGAATGTGCAATTAGAGTAGCTTGAAAGCTATTTCCAAATACGGTTATTGTCATGCGTTGAGGCAAAACATAATATATCACTACATGACATCAGAAAGCGATATCATCTTGCTTTTATTGTGTAGTGAAGTGTAATTTTCTAGGGCAGAATGTTTAGACAGAATGTACTTGAAGCATCCAGTACAAACTCATTAAATTCTTATATTCCTACCTGGCTTCAGGATGGTGCTTTGGTTTATGTGCTCGAAAAGATATTTCAGGTTTCTTCTCCAAATCTGTAGCTATTAATTAAAGGAATAAGAATTTATTATGTCCTCTTATGTGTAACTTTGATAATATCTAGCAACTACTGTGAAATAAATTAATTAAATTTGTATATGAAGGGAGGCAGTTCAATAGAAAAAGCTAATAGGCTACAGTCAGGCTTAAATGAGTCAGCTGATGATTTCAGTGGAAGACATTTATACTAGTACTGAATGTTACATGGTGAATGTTACCTGGTGAATGTTACAGGTTTTGCTGGTGCCAAATATGACTTAACATAATGGTAAATAATGCAGAGTGCTGTACTGGAAGTATACAGAGGGTTCATAAATCCTTTTTATAGGACAGGATACATAGGCATTGAATGTATTAATGCAGTCAATACTTTTTCTAGTTGAAAATCAGGAAACTGTGAATTAAAAGGAAAGGCCAGAGCAAATTATGAGCTCATTAACACAGAAGTTTAGACAGCATAAAAATCACATAGCCTGTATCTGTCTTCAAAGTATTTCAGAGTAATATTTTTTTTCATGCACACATACACAGCAAGTGGCTTAAGCTAGTTTTTCCAAGCTGTACGTACACCTAAAGAGCTGACTTTTTTTTTTAAATAAACCTGCTTTTCATAGCTTTTGAAAACCTACTTTGAAAACCTAAAGCTTTTAAAAATCTTTCTTTCGAAAATCTCACCCTCAAATTACAGGAGAGGAGCTAGATGGAGAGAAGGGAGATATTCTCTGTGCAGATCCAGTCGTTTTTCTTCAGGATATCCTTCTCTCAGTTTTTTAGGTTCCAACAGTCTTATTTTTCCTCAGGGTTTTAGGTCTTTGATTTGCTTAGAACAAATGTGATACCCTGGTTCCCCAAATAGCTGTAGCTAATACCAAGTTAAATTCCTTTTTTCTGCTACATCCTTCACAACTGTTGAGGTCACTCTAAATTTCTCTGTTCTCAGTAGGTGTATACCTGGGGGATGTCTCTTACTCATTTAAATATAGAGCCAGACAGCCTGATGCTGTGTAGCATAATAGATGTCAGGTTCCTATACTGATGACATCAGCTGGAGTTTTAATGATAGAATATTTTGTTCTGGGAATATGAATGAAAGACAACAAATTAATATAATATTATTAAGTACTAACCTTGTTCTCTTCCAGGTTCCTATATAAAATGATAACATAGACAGTAAATATTTTTCTTTGGATTACCAACTTGAACTTACCCTAACAAACACAACTATCCTTTAAGTTTAAAATGATTTATAGACATTCAGTCATTTAATATGTGCTCACTTTGTCAAAAACTCAAGCTGAATGTTGATCGCAGTCCACTGATAGCAGAGAACTGAATTTTTAGGGATATAAGTGAACGCAGGATTTGTCACAATGATCACCATTTCATAATGACTGTTGTACAAATTTAACTTACAATAGGATTTTCCATCATTGATCTTGTATTAAATCAGGAGATAGATTTTGATTGATTGGAGATACACCATCCAAAGATTAAAATCAGTCATTTATTTTCAGGCTTCTCAACTGACAGTACGGTTATTTTTACTGTCATGGCAGATACTTCATTCAAAATCACTCTGTGGAAAGTCTTAATTCAGCATATTGTGTTACAAAGGAATGAATGATAGGAAGGCATCTAGAGACCAGCTTTTGACTCAGAAACTTTCACTGTATTTCTGTATTACTTGATTCATACAGGAATAGTAATAGTTTTGATTAATTTGATACATACAAGACTATAATACATAAATATTAAAGATAAGAATTTTTTACTCTTTGTAGATGTTGCACTTTGAGTCTTCCTTAAAAGTTACTTTCCCAGTAATGTTTTCCCATTACTTGGAAATTCATTGTCTCATTCAGATCAGAAGAAACCTAGGCAGATTTCTAGTCCAAGCTCCTGCTTAAAGCATGGTGAGCTGTGAGATGAGGCTTAGGCTCAGACCTTTGTCCAGCAAACCTCCAGAACATAGATTTCACTGCTTCTCTGGGCAACCTGTTCCAACACCCTCATAATTATCCTCATAATTATTTTGTCTTTGTTATTTTTGGTTGAAAACTCCCTAATTTTAAGATCGTTGCCTCTTGTATTTCTACTGTCCACTCTCTAAATTGCTATGCTCTGCCTTCCTGATAATCATCTCTTAGGCACTGGCAGGCTGCTCTTAGGTTCCCTCAGAGTCACGCTGCTCCAGGCTGAGGGAGCCCAGCCCTGTCCACCGCATCTCACATGTCTGGTGCTGCACACCCTGACTGCACTGGTGACCCTCTGCTGACCTGCTCCTCTCTGTCACCCTTGTGTGGTACTCCAGGTGCTACCTAATGAGCAGTGAGTGAAAGGGAATTGTCCCTTTCCTTGAGCTCAGCTATGTTTCTCTTGATACAGCTTGATATGCTGTTAGCCTTTATGGCTACCAAGGACACACCAGTGGCTTGTGTTCATTCTGTGGTCCCCACATCCTTTTGAGCAGAGCTGCTGCCAAGGGAGTTAGTCCATCCTGGGGCAGGATTTTGCATTTGTCCTTTCCAATTTCAGGAGACTCCTCTTGACCCTTTCCTACAGCCTGTCTGGTCCCAGTGAAGGGCACTCCTGCTCTCAAACCTATTGACTCACTGTTTGGTGTCCAAAACCCGGAGAAGGTCACACTCTGTCTCTTCCTCCAGGTCACACTGAAACTGTTTATGTCTTCAGAGCTATATGAATGGGAAGTGATCCAAGTTAAATTTTATCTTTTCCATGTTATGAGATATACAATGTTTCTCCTTAAGATGTAGCCAAACTAAGAGGCTGTTAAGATCTGCAGTATTTGTGCAGCTGTACAGTGCCCATCCAGAAATATTAATTACAAATGTGAGATATTTATTTTTCTTGGGGGTGTTTTCATATTTGGTTTGTAATGAGTCAGTATCTAGCATAAGACAAAGCTTTTTGTATTAAAATAATATCTTTCTTGCCAATATCTCATTTAGATGTTAATAACAGTAGTGCAATCAAGCCATGTTTTGTAATTATCTTCCGAACTAAAAGAGTCTTTAACTGTGGGAGGACTGAGGTTCTGGGACAGTCTCTCAGTCAGAACTGTGAAGAAGATAGTCTCAAAGGATTTGAAAGTTAGAGCTAGACCAGTCTATAGATTTGTGCTACAACCCACTGTGACAGGAAATAGCTGGATTTAACTAGTATAGAGATGCCTTTCTTCCCTCTGTTCCCTCTGTTTCCCAATGAGATTAAAAACAATAAGAAAAAAAATTAGTGCAGTAAATAGAACATGCAGTGAGAAATACAAAATGCCACATGTGAGTATAACCTATCTCTGAATTTTACAAACATCCTTTAACACCGCATTATTGTAGTGACTGTATGTCTTAATAAATCTTATAGGAAACCACTTGTTATAACTACACCCCTTTTAACTAAACCCCTTTATTGCTAGACCCATTTCCTCTGCTTTACTTCATTGGCCCAAGTAGAAAGTGAAGGAACTTGTTAAAAACTTCTAACAGAAACTGGGATCTGCGGAAAAAAAAGCCAAAAAACCCAAGCAACCCAAAAACCCAAACCAACCACTTTCCTTTACCAAACTTGATGTAAAAGTTAATTGCTTTCTGCTTTATATATGCCTGCAGGAGTATTCCCAGCATTGCCTCTCAGCTTCTACCCTCTGACCACAGCTGGCTGGTGCAGGGGTCACTGGCAATGGGGCTGCAGGTGGCTGTGCTGGGAGGAGAGGTGGTCAGCTTGGAGGTGCGAGGAGGAAGGGAAGAGTCCTTTTAGCTTCCCTCAGACAGGGAAACTTGGAGCCGCTGTTTCAGCATCGCTGGCGCTGAGAGCACACATGTGTCAGCAGTACCTGGAGCCTAGAGCTGCCCGCAGTGGAGCTTTGCAGGCTAGCTGTGAGGAAGGTGGGTTGTGAGACTGGAGAATGGGGCCAGTGGTAGATGGACTTGGGGAATGTACTGGGGCTTGCTGGGTGGTCCGTGGTTCAGGAGGTTTGAGGACGAAGTGGAGCGTGGGCTTTGGCAGGTGGGCTGTGCTGTACCAGGCTGTGCTGGGCTCTGAGGGCGGTGAGGACTGTGCATCACTGTGGCTGTGGTCCTCGCCTCGCTGGGGAGGGCAGCAAGGGGTTCAGCTGGAGGAGCCATGTGACCACACAGGCTCCTGAGCAGCGGTGTGTGGCCCTCTCACACATCCTTGGTTGCTACCAGAGCTATTTTGCAGGCAAAGGTGCCATTTGTCTGAGGGGATGGATTTTGCAGGACTTGTGAGAGGCCCTAAGGAAGGAGGAGGGGAAGAAGGAAGCTGGGGGATAATAGGTGAGGTTCATACTGGGTATAAAATTTATCAGTTTTTTACACTGAGGGGTACTCTTCTTGAAAAGGGTCACATTAATTTTTGAGCTAGCCTCATATTTACATCAGAATAATACTATTACGCTGCTCTGTTAACCCTATAATTTCAGTTTGCTGCTTTTAAATATCTATGTGGAATGTCTGTTTCTCTGATTTTTTCTTGCTGCTTACCATTTTTAGGCATCTGCAGCATCTGGCAGTTATGAGATACACTTTTATGTGGATACTTGGGAAGGTACCTTTACACTCTATGTATGTTTTTATTTCTGCAAGCAACTTCAGGAACTTACCTCGCCATTCACAGAGTAGTGGCATTGTAGATGCTATACACATCAAAGATAGATACATTTATGACCCAAAGCTAATATGATTCTTATAGTATTATTACATAATAGGTTAAGATACTTTTACCAAGAAAGGCTGTGCAGCCACAGAATGTGTATGATTTTTATGGTCATAATACGTACAAAGATGATTACTTACTTCATTTTGTTCCTTAACAGATAGATGTCTGGAAAAGAAAGAATTATATGCAGAACATTCCATTATCATAAAATAAAAATCACTTTGAGTACTTAAATACTTTGATTACATCATCACTGGAAATTAACAGCCCTTGGCAAGGGAAGGATTTTATTACTATTATAGAAATTCAGAGGCTGTTTTTTTTCTTACATAAATTATTTATGAGAAAAGGTTATAGATGTCTGTAAAAAAGAATAGCATCCACTGAATTCATTATAGTAAATTAGAAAAGTCTTTGTTAAGGATTTATTCGCGGAGGAAGGGAGAAGAGATATGAATGATTATCAGCTTTCTTCACTACTTTTAATCTCATGTGAAAATGTCTTATTAAGAACTTTAAAGTCAGCGATAAGTGGAGGTAAATTCTTTGAAGAGTTTCAAAAATGAAACATTGACAGAGGCAGAATGGAAAGTGGAGAGGAAAGGAGGTGCAAACCAGGAAAAGAGAAATGGAGAATGCTCCTCATGGTCCTGATTCAAGTAGGTGTTTAAGGATTTTTCTGCCGTCTCCTGGTATACCTGATCAACAGGAAAATCTTCCTTTCCTGAGAAGAATCATCAGAAATTTTTTCCCCCAAAAAAGGAGAATCTGTTGAGCCTGACATCTTTTGTTAAATGTCCTGGATTTGATGAACACTCGTGTATTTTAGCAGCTTGTGTCTCATAATAGAAGACTTACAGGACCTGATTTTAGAAGTTATTCAGCAACATAAAGTTTGGGTAGGCATCTATTAGGTTTTTGAAGGCTACAGGATTTAGTCCCTGCTTAGCTTACCTCCTGGACCAAGAAAATACAACACTGAGTTATTTTGAGTGATGTGTTTGTTTTGGAATTTTTGAAGTGCCTTCCCCGGATCATGTGTGGTCTTAGTCTCTTACTCGTGTGATTAAAAAAACCTAGTCCAATTAAAAAATCCCAAACCTATCAGAAATACTTTATATGTAACAGCAGAGTGGAGTTGGGTGGTTACAATTTTTAATTCTACCATAAGAAATGATATGTATTTCTGTTACAGATTTTAGCTCTATAATAGGACCTTTCAAATCCAAGTGCTTTGCATACTGATGTCTGCTGGCAAACACAGTTTATAACAGTTCTCAGCAAGCTTTCAATGTATGTGCTGCCCTACTGAGGGAGGGAATCAGTCCTTGGAACTTTGCAGCTATAGGTCAGATCACACGTCTGAATATGAAGCTTATTCATATTAATAAAATGTCTTAACAACCAGCAGCTTTTGGAACCTAATCCATGAAAGAATTTAAGCACCATTCAGGAAAACAAAACGTACTTGGAGCTCGTTCCTTAAGTTTATGTCTAACTTTAAGCAGATTACTTCATTGATTTGTTAGCTTCCCCCCCCCAATGGGATTTTTGTAAAATGAAGCAAAATTCCATCCTGATGAACTGAAATTGAAACTGTTTATGGAAGGATGGACAGGACTGGCACAGCTCAGTTGTGCCCGAACTTCTGGCTGCAAAAGGTTTTCATTGAGAGGCATTTGAGCATGATACCCTGGGGCCCCTGGGTGTGCATCATTCGTGTTCCCAGCATCCCAATTTATGAATATGCATTTTGCTCACACAGCAGGAGCACATATGCTCACACATGACAGTGAGCACCATAGGTACATGCTCATCTGGCTAGATATGTTGTGTTTAAAAAAAAAAAAAAAAAAAAAGGCAGCCAGACTCATAACTAACTTGGCATATGCATATGCTTGGTCGTACAGCTGGACACAAGTGGTTTGTGCTTCAGGACTCTGTACTCATCCATACTGCCATGGCAGGATGCTGAATGAACATGGGTGTCGTATGATGGAGGAGGGCAAGATGGAAAGGGCAAGAAGCAGCTTATAGTCTGGAGCATTGGTCTCATAGGCTGGAGCAAGACTTCTGGCTACAGATCAGTCATTTCTTTTGCTGAATGCAACATCTTTGGGATGTGGAGTATTTCTGTATCTCTGCTGTGGTCGATGTATTTCCCCATCACTTGGTCCACTAACTGTGCTAAGCAAGTGCAATTGTTTAGAAATTATTGCAAAACTTCTAAATGTTAGTAAGAAAAAGTAGGACAAAGCTTAAACAAAGTGTTCAGGAAAGTTCTGCCTGCTTTTCTACTCCTTTACTTCTTTAGCATTATTTTGGCAGTTTTTTCTTTAAAAAATGCTAGTGTCACATTACGCTAAATACCACTTCTCTTAATCATTCACAGATGTCTAAAGTATAACTTTTTTTTTTTTTCTTAAGTAAAAGCAGAGGTGCAATGGAGGTAAAGTCTTGTGGTTTGACCAGGTTGAATGTTTTGGTTCTCAGGGAATGAGGATGAGGAATGCACCCATACCTTGTGACTTTTGCTGGTATTGGAAAGGTATGAGCTTGGCTGAGCGTTTTCCTTGTTTGAAAGAACTGGCTGCTTATCTTTGGCTCTGGAGGAAGTGGCTGATACTGCTTTGGCAGTGTCTTCAGAGGCCTAGAGAAGTCAAAGGAGAATTTGAAGAATTAGGGAATAAGGAGGTGGAAGGACTGTGTTATAAGTGCAAGCTCAAGAAGTAAAACACTGGAATTTTCCAAGAGCATTTAAATGTATTTGTGCTGAGCTTAGCTCAGGACCGGGATCTTCTTGGGGTCCTTCAATAGCAACAGTAATTTTGGATAATATTCTACATTTGCAAGACATTACTGCGTTATGTGCCACTGAACAGTGCTTTCGTGCACTTCACCAGTATGTGCCGAGTACAGCTCTCCAGACACACAGGAAAAAATGCTCTTCATGCCAGAAAAATCACAGCTAACACGTGTCTGGGGTTTTCTGGCAGATGTGGCCTGTTCTGCCTGTGCTCTGAGACCAGCCATTCACAGCCCAGCTCCAAATGGGAGCTGTGTAGCAGGGAGAGCTTGGTTGAGTAAAACTGGAGGTGCCTTCCGTGCTGTGCTGCAGACCTGCCCTTCAGTGGTGGGCTCCTAGGGAGGGAGCCTTGTGCCTTTGCATGGTACAGACCAAAATTAAGTTAGGTTTTGGACACTGTAATACAAATGGAAACAAATAATGAAATTTTATAGAATAATGGAATGAAAATGTTCTTACTTCTGCGCTTTTACAGTTTTGAATTTGTGAAGCTACATTTTTGTGCTCTTATTTAATATTTTAACTTAAGGAATAAATATGTCTGTAATGCTAATCATATTTTAAACTTCTTTATAGCTTTTGAAGCAGTCAGTGTAGGCATCGAGGAATAAGCTTGTAAGTCTTGGATGACCTTTTAGAAGGATATCTTAATTGTAGCAATTATTGTTTGGGGTTGAAAAGATCAAGAAGTGATTAATTTTTTGTTTGAGAGCATATCATAGGAAAATATATTTGTGGAATAGGGCTTGGCCCATCTTCTGTGGGACTAAGTGGCAGTATTCCAGTTGATTTCTATGAACATGATTTAGATTTGTAGCAAAAAAATATTGGCAGAAAGATTTAAGAGGCAATGAAGTAAATATTATATTATCATGGTGAACAGAGTCTGAGGCACCAATAAGAACTGATGGAAGACCTTTTTCCCAACAATTTATATCTAGGTGGAACCAGATTCAATATCTCTAGACTTTTAGCTTGGTTGTAGGCTCAGCCAAATTGATTTTGAAGAAGCAGGCCTGAGTTCCTGCAATAAGCTGTTATGGCTCATGTTTTATTCTCCCTAATTTCACATCAAGACCTTAAAAAGTCCAAACAGAGCCAGGTAGTAAAAGAATGCTAGCTCACTTCCAATCATCTCAATACCATGAGCAGTACGGATGGATGTGAGTATTCATTAGCATTGAGTTCCCCAAGGACTTGCAGGTAAGCCATGTCTTAAGTGATCTTACCGTGGGGGAGGCACAGGGTCCTGGAAAAGAGAGGAAACAGAAATCTGTGTAAGCTTTTTTCCTTGTTTTACTAAGAGAAATGTAAAATGTTTAGATTAAGCAGACATGCCTGTGTCAACAGTCAAAGGGCTTATGTACTCTGCAGCACATAACATCATACTTTAATATGCCGTCTTAAAATCACTGAGGGGAAAATGACGTCTACATAAACTATGAATGCAAGTAAGTGAGATAATGTAGGACTGCAGATTTGGGTTCTCTTATCCTATAGTTAGTGCTAGCAAAATTGCAGCCTGCTTTTAAAAATATATTAAGTGGCAAATTAAGTGTAAAAATTTCAATTGATGAGAGATTCTGCTTACCTGGCATCCATGTATTTTCATTCTTTCTCCTAAAAATAATTAGTAATAAATCTTAATAGAGTGCCACCCATATAATTAACAAATAAAGATGTAGCTTTATTCTGGTATGGTTGTTATTATTCTTGGCAGTCCAGCCCTGTCCCTGTCCCTGACTCTACCTCCAGAACTCTTTGCGCCAAGGTCATGTTTCTGTCCCCATGGCATTCATCCTACCTATCACATCTGTATCTCTCTAACTTGTCCTGCTACTGAATGGGGAACATTAATTTCTGTAAACCTGGAAGAAGGTGGGAACTTCAGAGGTTCAGTGGGAGGTTGTTATATATGGAGGGAAGTCACAGCCTAGACCTGAAGTAGAGGTCACTGCAGTGCGTATTTTCTCTGTTGGCTGTTCTGCACATGAGGCCAATGGGCTCTGAATGAGGCTTATTGGAAGTGGAGTGGATTTTGTTTGATCTGTACTTTATTTAAGCTTTTGTAATGATGGGTTCACAGATGTATTCAGGTGCAACTTATTCTCAATTATTTGTGCTTCTCTCCATACGAACCTCAAGACTAAATGTACTTAGATAATTACAGTGACCATAGAAGTCTTGAGAATCTTCCTGTGCTGTAGCCAATAAATCTTTTTAATATCATTCAAAAATATTCATTTTATAAGAGACATAACTAAGAATCAGCTAAAGTTAAAGCAGGAAAAAACAAGTATTTTAGATTTTTTTTTCAGTTTAAATAATAAAATAAAGGAAATAAAAATCATTGTGATATTTGATAAAACTGAGTGAACTTTGGTTTTACCTCTGGCTTTCATAATGAAACATTTGAGAGTGATACTTATTCAGGTATTGTAAATTTAAATATTGTTCAGAGACATATATATAGCTTGGCAAGTTGTTTGAGAGGCATTTCTTGTCTGTTTTCATTTTTGTATATAAATTTATAAAAATCTTGAAAAGCAATGAAACTAAATATTTTTGTTTTCAAATTTGCCAAAATATAACTGATTATTTAAATTAACATAGGTCATCTTACTGATTAAAAAACCCCGTCTTACACTATTTGCATTAGATTTTGATTTTGAAACTATTTTTGTAAATTCTACATACTGAAATCCTAACTAATGCAAAAAGATTTAATATATCTTAAGTTATCCTTCAAGTAAACTGTAACAAATTGCTCTGAATAAAATAATGGTACCTTAAATGCTTAACAGTTCTAGAAAATAACTGTTGACAAAAATTCTTCTGTGCTCTTCATGCCATCTTGTGGCTAAGCCATTTAATAGCACTGGCAGTGAGAATAAACGTTAAGATACATTTAATAACAGTGTACTTACTACCTAAAAATAACAGAGTCCTCTATAAGCACTGTGAGCTCGGGATGTACTAAAAGTAAGTTGCATTCTCAAACTACAGAGTTTAATTTACCTGCCTGCATTGTCTTTGGTTCATCTTTCTTACTGTCAGCACACGTCATGGAGGGAGACAAACATGTAAATCCAACCTACTAAATCCTGGTGGAATTTGAAGCTTTATCTAAACTGGAAAACTGTCAGTGGGACCTTGCTGCCTATTTCTGCATATTCTGAAGCTGGCTTACTCAAATTTCTCTCAATTCACCTTTTTTACAAGCTGCATCAGGATTTGCTCACAAGAGTCAATCTAATCTTTCATTTTGCAAACTTCATAGTGCTTTCTTTCTCGTAATCTGTAGGAATTATTTGGCTCTATGTATTATATTACAGAATTAACTAAAAGGAAAAAAAAATCAAACAAATAATCTTTTGCATGGAATTCTTTGCGTTATTTTTCTGGCTGATCAAATATAATATTTGATTTGAAAATGATTAGAGAAAAAAATATTCCCTTTCAAGGTTATCAGATATTTAATCCTTCAATAGTTGATTTCATATGATATTGCTGCATCTAAAGTATAAAAAATATGAAAAAGTTTGTAGAAACCTATTTTAAAATAATCTTATGACTGAGTAAAACTGTTAATTACAGGATTTAATAGTTGGACAGCTCATTAGATTCTTGAAGAATAAGATAGCAGTCTGTCTCCAATTTCACCACAGGAAACAAAACGGAACAAACAAAAATTAAAGGTAAATTTTTGACTCAAAATTATAGGATTTTGAAGTAAATTTACAGTTAAAGGTAAAACAGTGGAGAAAAAAAAATACACTAGGTGATATACCACATAATTAGCATATTCTTAGTAGAACATTGTCAGAGAGCTTTTGTAAATAGTTACAGAATATTACAGAATATTAGGGATTGGAAGAGACCTCAAAAGATCATCTAGTCCAAAAGATCATCTAGTCCAAAAGATCGTCTAGTCCAAAGAGATTTACCCTAGGATGTAAATCCTTAATAAGAATTGGTAAAGTTGATATTACTATTTAAAAATAGTTATTAGATTATGCTTTACCATATATTCATACAAAATGCCTGAGAAGTATAGGGAGCCACAAAGCATGAGATGATGAGAAGTGAAGCATAGCAGGGATCTTGCACCTTTTGGTGGTGGAGTTCAGGAGATACAGGCTTCCTCCC